TTATCGGACAGAGGAGGAGGAGGAGGAGGAAGAAGAGGAAGAGGAGGTACGTAGCACTTGATACCCCTCCTCCCCTTTTGCATGAAGCTGACGATTTCCTACGACGATGCACTGTGTTCCAAGAAGGGAGAGAGGGTCGCTAATCCAGAAATGGCCGACAGCTGCCAGCGGGCACAGGTTTCCGGCGACTTTCCCCTTGTCCTCTAGCGATCCGAACCACTAGGAAGTTCAGGTAACAATAAAGCGCTTTGTGCGTATGCCAACCTTTCCAGCGACTAGAAAAGTACAGGTATTCGGAGTTTTGAACGGGTAGGAAAATGAACAGATACTGAACAGTAAGGATGAGAGCCACAAAGGATGAGGGTGAGGCAAATGAGACTGAACGAAGAGTCGCACCAGCCAAGCCAAATATCACCTCTTCCAAATATGAGAACACATAGAAAATATTGTTCCACTTGATGCGCTATCTAGGCCAACGTCCACATTATGAGTCAAGAGGGTATGGAACTGAAATCGTAATCCAACGCGCTGCCGCACGACATTCCTTCCCATTATGCCATGCAAAAGTACATTGCCGAGGCCCAAAAACATGCACATATTAATTAGATGATCTCATGATACATTACCGAATACGGTCACTAAACCATCGCTGACTACAAATGAACGTCTGCATTATCTCTTCTCTATGAATAAATAGAAAAAAAAATTGAAACCGGCCAAAACTGCACCTCCTAGAGTCTTCTGCAAATTCCTCTGTACTGTGCGTGAAAATTCTTTTTTCAGTGGTAAATTGGAAAGGACACAAACACGTAGCCACTCAAATTCCTAGCTGTAACGCCAAGGAACAACGTCAAAATAAGGACCGAGCGAGAGCTGGTTCCAGCGGCCAACAAACATGCCCTTGTGAGGGGCTGAAAACCAAAAATAGTCATAAACACTCGAGCTCCAATGGCAAGTCTTGAAGCGACGAGCCAGGCAGACCTCTCACCGGAAATGGGAAATGGCTCCGCTGCACACATTCAGAAGAATGGAATCAAATACCAGTGGACACTTTAAGAGGCCTTGTGGAGCAAATGCCATGAAGGCTAGGTTTTAAAGTCGATAGAGTAATTACTCAACGGAATATTAAAGACAATTCCCGCGATCAAATGTTACGGGTAGTAGGGGCTGTTAATCATAAGCATAAGCCCCTGGAGTAAAAAAAACTAAGTTGGGAGAGAAGCGAAAAAAATTTTGGGAACACTCTGAACAGAGACCCCTCCCCCTCTAGGCAGTGGGCGCCTTGGACGAGTTTGTCGGACGTCGCCAAGCGCAATCAGCGGGAATTCAACGTGCACGATTCCGGCGAGAGCGCCAGGAAGTCACCCTACGACGCTTCAGGCAACGTCATGTACACCCGCAGTTCCGCTTGTAAGCCGTTGCCTTGCAAATGAAAGTAATCGTGGTTGCAATGGCTGCAACACAATCCCGTGTCTCTAGCCTCTTTATCTCGCCGTTTCGAGTGACCAAACGCTCCTAAGCTGCACAAAAAAATGCTGTTTTTGCGCATGCTCCCAGGTTTTTGATAACGGAAACCCACGGCCCCCCCCCCCTGATGAAACGCAGTGAAGGAAAAACATCGGAAAAACGTCGATGAGCAGCTGTTAAAAATTTGGAGCCCCGCTGTTATAGATGTACAGACTATTCCAGGTGCATGTGTCATCTGTACACACTACGTGCTGAGCAAGTGTCGATAGAGGTGCACGGATTTTTACGGATCGAGCCACATGTATGAACCAGGGAACATTTTCAAGAAAAGGTCTAGTAAACGATGATTACGGACGGACTTTCACAACCGGGCCTAGCTTACCAGGAAAGAATGGAAGGCTGAAGCATTCCTTCAGAATAAGATGTACACCTTCTGGTGCGCCTTTGGCCCTTCATTACAAATCTGCCTCTCATATCTGCTAAACAATTCTCTAAGTAAAGTTTTGGATGTTTCTTGACTCGGTCGCACCCATGCTCACCACTGGGACAAGAGCCGCAGTGTTGCTCGTAAACAAGCATGGCATGCCTAGCTGTTCTGACGCGATACAGCATCGTTTGGGTTGAATCACTCCGGCTGTGGTGCGAATAGCGCGTACGCGGCACCATTTGCAACATCTCTCTCGCCTCCCTCACCCGGTCTCGGATAGACTAGACCCAACCTTCCACAATCTGTTGTTGCACCGTGTGAACGGGAAACTCACGCCGCGCGCGGATTCACTCATTGACGATGCGCGGGGTACTCGCGTAGGGCGTTACTTACAAAAGAATGAAATGTTGTCGAAATCAGAGTAATTGACTGAAATATAAGTCGCGGCAACGCAGCTTCTAGCAGACTATTACCTAGCTATATAAATAACTAGACAGATCCAAAGAAGGGTTTGTGAGAAGATAATCGCAATTCGCCGCGCTGGGGAAAGGGAGGTGGGGGGGCATCGCGGGCGACTCTACGTCGTGATCACGGAATGCGGTGCTCAAATCGACAGGCTAAACGTAGATTACAAACAACCGCCTCGTCGCATGCGCGCGGACGCAGGGGCCGAATTACGAGTTCTCTTGACGGTTTCTCCCCGTCCCCCCCCCCAAAAAAAAGAAATAGTGACATGAGAGACGCAGAGGCAGAGATCGACGGCCGCAACTCTGTTTCGCCGAGTGGATTGGGTCCTGGTGTTAATAATGCGCTTTCTTAAAATGCCTATTTCGTCGCATACGACGCAATAAGGAAGCAGCGGCACTCCCGCTGTCTGTTCATAGATCGCACAGGTCGTCCTGCTTCGAATAACGACAGAAAGGGGGAGTGACTGACAGTAAACCTTACTTGCTCTCACGTGCTAAACGGCTGCTCTAAAATTTTTGATTCTACCATTTTGCTACCAGAAAGCATCACAACGAACAGGAATATTGTGGGATCAAAGGCAAGGAGATGAGAGCTCAGTATCGCTATAGAAGTGCTATTTGTCCTGTAAAGGGGGAGATACTATCAATATTGAAGCAGGAAAGGAGTTGTTTATGAAGCCACTTGCCTACATGAATTTGACGAACAACTCCAAACGATGCTATCGCATCCAGTTCTCATCTTCTATCTACACAGCTGCAAAAGGTACTTTCATGCTACCAGTCTGGAGCAGAGTTCACAGACTGTGATGAATTACGTACAGTAACCTTGTTTATTGGGGTATCACGAGGGCTCTGTAGTTTCTGCATACTACTTTTCAAGGTTCACTATATAACCTTTTTGAATGGGTGTTCGTGAGCATTTAGAAAAACCACCCAGTGGAAGCAAAAAAAAACAGCCCAAAGATAAGCATCTCCCAATAGATGATTCCAGTGGAAAAGTCCAACGGGCAAAAACCGGAATGGGAGCAGCTACGAACCCGGAGGCTGTGCGAGCGATCAAAATGCAGGACATGGAGTTCTACTCATTAAGGCCGACCGGTTAAAGTGCACGATAATATGGTACTCGGCCTGAAATGGTAGCGGGGGTGCTATTGTATGTAAAATAGCGACAAAGCGAAGTGAAACGGTCAAAAATCTGCAGGAAAAGCATTTGTTCTACACGACCCAGCAGGCATTTCGAACGGGGTTTCCCGTTGGCATCGTGCCAGTAACCGCTACGTAGGTAAGGCATACATGTATGCGCTCATTTATCCTGCCAGACCGCAGCCGCCTATCAATCCCTTCGCTTCATTTAAAATATACTCCGCAAATGAAGCGATACAAGAACCAGCAATGGTCGGACAGTTGTGGGCAGACAGGTGCGGTGGGCGTCCGGTTCGGTATGTTGTAGCCTGATAGGGGCGCTACGCGGACCCTGCTTTGGGTCCGTCTGTAAATCTTTCCTGTTAGGCATATTAATCCTACACGTTTGGGGATTTATCGTACCACTTGCATCTGAGGCTATAATTCATGTGCGTCTATACGGGAAAGGGAGAGAGAGACTGAAAACTCGGAAAAAAAAGACCAGCTGAGATTTACGGGCCTTTGAGTACGCGCCACGCATCAGCAGAAACATATGGATGTGTTTTTAATCGAAGTTCCTCAGCGCTTACCAGGGCTTTCTATGTAGAATACAAGTCTGAAAAGAAGCAACGAATCGATCTTGGAGGGCAGCAGAGTCGGGAGATACGGCATTTACAGAAGAACTACTAAAAGCACCAGGTGAAGCCTGAGAGTTTGGGTTAGGTGGCGTGGCGGGGTAAGTACCGAAGGGTGCGTTGACGAGAAGTCACTGATCGATTGACAGCTCATCCGGGAGAATTAGGCGAAATGACCAAGCGGTTCGCGATAGAGGAGGACCAACACCCCAACTTGGTAGTTTGCCACAAAAAAATTATGGTTTAATGCTGAGACACCGTAGAGTATGCTTTCTACTAATTTTGCACACTTACAGTGTTAAAATAAATAAAAAATAAATAAATGGATGCACGAGAAATCAAGGACACGACTTCCGATATGACTGACACTGGTTCATATTTGAGAAATTCAGTACGCTCCCTTCTTCTCAGACCAGCAGCTTTTAACTTGCGTATGGATGAGATATAAGACGAGAATACCAGTCTAGTGGCGCTCTTCAACATGCCATCGACCACTGGCATCTTTTCCTTTTGCCTCAAGATTGTAGGTACTTTTGGACGAAGAATGGGGTTTATTTGGTACAGTGCACTAGCAAAAAATCTGATCGTTGATTTTCACTGTTCTACATGCATCTTATACGAACCAATTCTCTACCCGACCCTGGGCAGCGCTCTCTTTGTTGCGGCTTCGCAAAGTCTATTTCTGATGGTTAGAAGTATTGCTACCTTCACGCTCCTCCGTTCAACACCAGATTTTCGGGGAAAGTTGGGAAGAGTGCAGGTAGTAGGATGGGAAGGGGGTCGTATCAAGGGAGCATGTTGCTCACAATTTGTCAATTAATAGCGTCAGCCATTGGAGCTCGGAGGAGAAAGGTGGCCCTCGTGGTGGTGCAATGGTAAGCATAAGGTGTGGGATGAGTCCCACCCTAAATCAGACTCTTCGCAACAAATCAGCACCCCCGTGACAACAGCAAAGCGCGAACTGCCTCGCTAAACAGCAGTAATTATGAGAAGAACAAATAAAAAATTAAAATTTATTTATAGAATTTAATTTATAATTATTATTTTATTAATTTTATTTAAATTTTTAAAATTTAAAATTCATTAGAATCGTAAGAGAATTTAGTTGAGCGCAAAGCGTCCGTACCTTGGCATGTTTGATCTCGAGATCAGCCAGATCAGCGAGGTTCTTCTTGAACGCTAACACTCGACGCTTCTTCAGGTCCTTCAGTTCAGTCTTTGCTAACGCGCTGATGTCCTCGAACTTTTTACACGCCTCCTGTTGCTCGGCCTCAGCCTATAACGAACTAACTCTTCACCGATAATACAGCCAGAACAATTGTCAGAAATAATGACCGATTTGTACAGAAAGCAGGCAGAAACGTAGGCCCTTACTTCAGAAATAGTTAGTTTTTTGAATAACCGCGGAATAGAACTTTTGAAGGCGTACTGCTTTCACCTTTGACGGCTTCTCGGAATGCCCACTCTTACTGCTTCTCTACTTTCTTTTTCGAATCGTGAAGGTTTCGAGTGCCACCTGGCCGACACAACTAATTGCGCTGACCAACGATGTCCAATTGACTGCTTTTATCCTCTCATAAGGATCTCGAATCCGGTAAGTTACTGGCAGGAATAGCAATATTCGTTCGCCCGCACATCGTCACACATGCACGAGTAGTTACCAGGGAAGTTCGTCAACTCACCATGGAACTTTGAATGGAGACCTGGGTAGATCGATAGAGTCTATAAGGTTATTTACAAATATAGATAGCAAAACTGCAACCTGCATTTCACAAGCAACTTATGAGCAGGTAAAGTTTGTAATGGTGCAGTAGGGTGGAGGCTTGGTGGTGAGCTGTGAAGCATAAGCGAGGAATCGCATACGTCGAATTGCCGAACGTCACCTTAACACTGAACTACCACGACTCGATTCGACGTATTGCAATTCCTCGTTTATGCTTCACAGCTCACCACCAAGCCTCACCTACTGCACCATTACAAACTTTACCTCTAAGCAAGTTGCTTGCTGAAATTACAGGGTTGCAACTTTTGCTAACGGTATTGTGAATAACCTTTATTAGACTCTATCGTTACCTCATGGTCTCATTGCAAAGTCATGGACTTGGATATTTGCGGAGTCCCTGGTTAAAGGCAGCGTCGCGTTCGACCAAGAGGTGAAAAAAACCATCCAATGAAACGAAGCGGAAGTATGCAACCACAGCGGAAATCGCCATTTTTCTTGCGGCTCGAAAATCGTATTGAGCAGGATGGTTGACGAGGGCGGAGTCAACAAGGCTGAGCTGACGCCTCCTTTCCTGTTAATCCCGCCCCGACTGGTTAACAGTTATCAGTGCTTGCTGGCATTGATAAACGCTAAGTTTCTGGAGTTCCGAGGCCGCGACGTGTATTGGAGAACTCACCAAAGGTCTGCGAAACTCGTCCACATGCCTTAAATTTCGTAGGGTCTTATTTCACGCTCTTCCACACCTTTTCCTACATTTTTTGACTGGTGCTTAAATTTGGCACTGTATCTAACAAATTTGCCCGGAGAGCCTGACGCCAAAGTCCATCGCGGGTTCTGCCTTTAATAAAGTGGCTCCATTTGCCATTACCCCACCTTACGATCGAGGAGTAATCCGACACCAGTCTTAATATTCCTGTCTTGACTAGTCCGTTAAGAAGGCGAGAATCCCGGGGGTCGGGATAGAACCTTGACGTTTGTTATTGTTCCCCCACAAGAAATTCAAGGTTGACTTTCAAACATTATTCTGGGAGGTGGGGTTTCAATTATGGTAACAAGCCGAACCAAACGGACTCAAAGGCGCAGTTTGGTTAGTGACAGAGGTGGGGCGGGATAGGAGGCACAGGCTTTTGCACTGTCTCGCTTACAAGAGTTGACAAGTTATGCCTTCACCGGAATTGATCAGGAATTCTTTACAGACGCTGACAAGTAGTTGTAGTTTTTTTACAAACTCTGTCAACTCTTTGTTCAGCGAACAGTGCGAAACTGTCCCTCCTCCACCCCGCCCCCCCCCGCCCCCCCCCCCTCCACCTCTATCTATATCGAACTGCTCCTTTGAGTCCGTTTGGTTCGACTTGTTACCATAACTGAAACCCCACGTCCCAGAATAATGTTTGAAAGTCAACCTTGAATGATGGCACTTCATGGCTTCACTAGATTCACAAATTTCAGGTGATGGTTGTCGTAGCAATGAGAAGGTGCGAAAGTGCACAAATGCCCCCTTAGCCAAACTTCGCCAACTCAAACATTATTTGCACCTTTGGAATGTCCTTGTTGTTGCGACCACGAGCACGTTCGAGATTTTTGTTCGCAGCTTCGTAGTATGGCCGAAGACATCGTCAGGCGAACGAAAAGCGAGATCCTGAAACGATTATGAGATATTTTGATATGATTCAAATTGAAAACCGATCAATTTTCAGAGATGGAGAGAACGAGAGTTCTTTTAAAAGATACACAAAAGAAAGAAAAAGCTTCGAAATGAATGAAGAAACCAGGGAGAAATATGACAGGGCTCAAAGGATGCAAAACGGAATAGAAAGGAAACTGAGAGGAGGTACGCGCTTGAGTTGGAAGTGAAAAGTCGTCAGTGAGATGTGGCCCACATAAGAAACGGCGATAAACGAACAGGAAGCGTTTCCGTCACTGGAATCACCGCTTCTCTGTGTCGAGGCACTCCTCGCTAAATCGCTTCCCAGGCCTTCCATCTCCACAGTCGGCCCCGTCCACAAATCTGGTTCATTCTCTCTCCTTTCCTAGACCCTCGTTATTAATTGTCACTAACAACCTTTTGCCTTCTCCTATTTGAGAAATCGATACTAAAAGCAGGAAATTACTGCAGAAGTTCAAAGGCGATTCGGCGGGCGGTTCGCTTTGGGAGGGGCAAGATGGTACCAACCAAGTTTCTGCAGGCCAGACCTGTAATTTCCTGTGCCTAACGTGGCTCTTTTCTGTCATTTCGCAGCCTCACAGCACGCACTTTCCAGGTTTCACCAGAAACGGACCCGCTATTTCACATGAATTAACAAAAGGAACTAGCGAATGAGCAAAATGCCCCTCCAAGTCGAACAGCTCCCAGTAGTTCTTCCTCTAGAGATGTGCGGCGCACCTAGCACATTTAAAATCAAATATAAGTGTTATGGTGGATCGGTTCAGTAAAGAGCTGACGCTGACAAAAATTTCGCTATACGCTATTGCTGACTTCTTCCTCTAAAAAGGTCTTTCTCAGAGAAATATCGTTGGTTTCTGTCGACTGAACTAAGGTCGAGTCCAAGGTGAGGGGTAGCCTGGGCCTAGCTCTCTCGCTATCCCTCGCCAATATGCTGAAGCCGACGCCATCTAATACTTTGATGAAGCTCTGATCATATTAGGAAACCTTTTCAATTTTCCGAATGTTGCCTTCTCAACGAACCTCAGCTAGGTCCAGCTCGAACAATTTCCCAACCACCTTATGTTCCACCAGTCGGATCGCACGGCTAAGTCGTGCTCTCCTCCTTCTCTTGAGCTCGGCTTCGTCGAGCTGGCATTGCTTCGCCAGAAATACGTTTCCATAATTTTAACGGAAGCAGTTGCGCTGCTCATAAGTGCTGCATAGTGCATCGAATCCGTAACAGACAGAGCAAGGCTTAGGATCCCGCCACAATCGCACGCGCTTCCATTTACAGCAGCGGTGTAGTCCGCGCCATGACGCCCATAGAATACATAAATCTGTAGATAGATACAATGTGTAGTCGGCCAATACAGCGCAATATGAATCGCTCAGTGAAATAGCAGATTCGTTCCATACCTGCCACCGAAATGATTTTACGATCCTTTATCAATTAGCATGCGATCCGCTCGTTGAAGCGTTTTTCGGTTCTCCTCGAATTTCCTGAGATTCCTGTTTCAGGCGAACTACATACCCCCTCCCCCTCCCCCCACGCTTCGTCGACTCGACATATAAATGATAAGCAGAGGTAATTGAATAATGTCCCTTATCCTTTCGTATCAAATGATAAGATCCGGCAGCCATGTCATCAATGTCCCTATCACCGAAACTATAATTTGGTAGTGTAAAGGCTCCAGCAATTTGACTGAACAGCATTGGCAACGTTCCTTATCAGCCCCTATCAGCTGTTATCACCCGTGCCGTGTCCCCATCTCCAACTCTATATCATTTTCTGAAATTAATGCCTAGCTGATGCTGTGTTCCGCGTTATGAGTATGGTGACCTTACCATTCTAACTCCCCTTATCAAATCCTATCAGCTGCTATCATTCCCTGTCACCCATCAATAATGTTCCTGTCCCACGTCCTATATCATACCTTGGAACCAATGTCCCACTGTTACTGTGTCCCGCACTATGGGCTCGGTCACCCTCCCTTTCTAAGGCCCCTTATCGAATCTAGGTGCTATCACATTCTATCACCCACCAAAGTGTTCCCGTCCTGCCATGTATATCACTTCTTGGAACTGTCGTCCTATCTTTTCTGCGACGCTCGCTATGAATTTCGTGACAGACAGACAGACGCACACACACACACACACACACACACACACACACACACACACACACACACACACACACACACACACACACACACACACAGACACACTTAGCGGATTATATATAGTAGGATAGATGTCTACGCAGTGTAATACATTCCTTATGAGAAAACCCGTTCCGATAGCTGTAAAACCCCAGAATTTCACTACAAAGAAAAATTGCTTGGGAAAAACATCCTGATCTCAGCATAACGAGAGAGATTGTTGGCGGAGACCAAAGGACGTCAATGAGCGCGGCGAAAGCATTGCCGACGCACTCACTGCCAGTCTTTGACGAGCAGACGTCGCCTGCGGGTGGTTCCCCCGCAAACAATGACCTCAATGACGCTGCATCGATCACCGAGCGAGAAAACATTAAAAACGCCCCGCTGTAAGAATACTCGGCAAAAAAATACTACCAGTTGGTTGCAAGAATGAAAAAATAGGCAAAAGCTGAAGTCTTCGAAAAATGGAGTTTAGAGTTAACCTGACAGTGAACATGTATTAGAAAAAGGAACTAGTGGAGTACAGAACGCCCCCGTCCAAGCCGAACACCGACAAAGCTGCCTGGGGAATAAGAACAATAACCAGTACATTCGTTGGTTCTCGTTAGTCATGTAAAGTCCACACGCACCTAGAAATTTCCAAAACTCAATATGTAAGTCGGATGCATGGCGCACCTTCAAGATGCTGATAGGCATAAATGAATGATGCACCAACGAAAGGATGACTGAATGAGAGAAAGAAAAAAGGAAAAGGGTCTAATGAAAGACCACTTCCACGCCGTAATATTAGATGGAACGTAGGCTGTTACCCATTTGATCGTGTCATGTTTTTGTCTAGCACCTGACAGAATAACAATTGTCTCAAATGAAAAATACCCCACGACAAACGCATCCCACGCCATGTTCAAATTGAGTACGCAGCCAGGCCTTCCCAGTGGGGTTACAGTACCATAGGAAAGTAATCAGTTCTTTTTTTTGAAAAAGATATTCAAACAACATTACCATACAACATGGTAAGGGAACAACCCACGATAAAGTTGAGAATATGTCGCGTTCATTTGGTGTGAAGAAGACTCTCCGACAATTTGTCCGATTGCCAGAGCCACAGAGATGCACACTTTACGCGTGCTAAGAAAGACGTGAAAGGACGCAAGCGCTCTTGACATAGGTGCTGCCCCACGCCAGCGCTTCTATTGCGTCACCGCAATGTTCTTTCCAAAAAATTCCCTGGTGGCGCAATCATTCTGCTAGTAGCTCTTTCCTTTTCGAATGGGGAGAGTGGGGTGACAAGGAAAAAAAAGCTGATATCGTATGACAGCAACAAGCGCGGAATTCCAAACACATCTCTCTTCGCTGAAATGTATTAGGTTGTCCGGAAAGTTCTCAGCGTTTTGTGCACCTATTTTTTGTACATTCACTGCTGATTAAAAACTCATTCTGCCTTGCTTCTCAGTAGCACATCCTGTAGAGAATTTCTTGCGCTATCTGATGGTATATAATTGCCGTTTCACCATTGCTGATAATAACCCCATTTTTTTAAGATCTTTTTTCAGCATGCTGAAAAGAGCCACTCGCGAGCCGCATTTTTTCTTCGGACTATAATGGGCAATCCGCCAATCGAAACCAGTCAACAAATTAACCAGCGTTGGTGAGGGTCCCTAATTTAGTGCTAGAAAAAGCACTGTGCGGCAATGGCTCAACAAATTTCGTTCTGGAGATTTCAGCCTTGAAGATGAACCTCATAGCGGTCGACCTAAAGCAATATCTGACGAGGATTTTAGGGGGATTTTGGAGGCTGACCCATCCCAAACAGTTCGAGAGATAGCAGAAGAGCTAGGCCTTGGCAAATCCACTGTTGCAGATGGTCTGGAACGCATTGGGAAGGTGAAAAAACTCGACAATTGGGTGCCCACAATCGGAGTGACCGGCAGGAATCGGCACGTCTCGAGGTTCCTTCTGCATTGCTTTTGCGCAGCAGAAACGACCTGTTTGGGACCGGAATTAGTCACGGATGAAAAATGGGTCATGTATGATAACAGGAGACGTTCCGGACAGTGGTTGGATTTCGACGAACCACCGTAATTTTTTAAAGCCGAACCCTCACGAAAAAAAGATTCTGGTCACGGCTTGGTGGTCATCGGCTGGTGTGATCCACTATAACTTTTTATCACCAGGCCAAACCATCACAGCAGAACCCTACTGTGAAGAAATCGAGGAATTGTACCGAAAATTTTGTCAGATGCAGCCAACACTTATCCAAAAGAAAGGGTCCGATTCCTTGGCCATGACGAATGCCCTCAACGTTTCACAAATCACTATCCATAAATTGAACGAATTGGGGGTTGAAGTTCTACCTCCCATATTCTTCAGACCTTTCGCCAATCGACTATCACCTTTTCTAACATTTTCAGAACTCCCTTGCTGGAAAATACTTCATCAATCAGGACCAGGCAAAAAAGCCTTAGTGGATTTCGTGAATTTTCGACCACCCAGTTTTTACTTTGATGGGATTTCTCGACTGCTGTCACATTGGCAAAAGTGTGCTGATTCGAATGGTGCCTATTTCGATTAAATCCGATGAGTATTAAAAAAGTTACGATCGTTTAAAGTGAAACACCCAAAACGCTGAGAACTTTCCGGACAACCTAATAAAAAAATAAAAAAATCAAAAAATAGTAACAAAAAAAAAAAAAAAAAACACGAGTCTGCGAAGACGTCGGAAGTCTACTAGCCGGCATTCCGGAAAGCATCAGTTCTTTTTTTCTTCACTAGAATGGCAGCCTGTCGCGTGGTCCCTTCCCCCCCCCCCTCGAATACTTCGGCACAGCACTGGCACCTAACCTTCCTCGTACTCTGAACATAATTTTTATTCAGAAGTAGCGATTACGCACGCTGGTCGCTAATCACGCACGAACATATTTGCCCTCTTTAAAGGCAGTTGGTACGATGAATCCCCCAAGACGAGTAGGATTAATACGCCTGGCAGGACGGAATTCCGCGACCCTGAGCAGGCGCTGCATAATGCCTTTTCCAAGGAAGGTGCCCTTATAAGGGCCCTATCAAGCCACAACATTCCGACCCAAACGCCCGCCCGCCCACAAATGGACGACCGTTCCTGACGCTCTGATCGATTCATTTGCTAAGCAAATTATGAAGCGAAGGGATTGGTATGAAGCAG